GCCCCTCGGGTGGGAGAAATAAAGCAATTTCAGGAGGAAGCAAATTGCCATTCATCACGACCGTCCTGCGACCGCCTGCCCTCTGGGGGCTTCATGGACTTTAATCTCATCGAATTCGTCCATTTCTGTTCTACAGATGTTGAAACAGAGACTCGGAGAGGTGAAGGGCTCTGCCCAAGGTCACCTCCTATCAGGACCCAGGAAACGGGACTTGGGGACCAAGGTGGGGAGAGACTGAGACCAGGGCGTGGGTGTGCCGGAAGCAGAAGAGGGCGGTCAGCAGGTCGGTGCTCAGGAAAACGCCCACTGACCGCAGGGTAAATGTTCATTTCAAATTCATTATTGTCTTTGTGAGCAAATGCCTGCTTATCTTCCCACACTAGAATTCCCGGAATCCTTGCATTTGACCTGATTTCCCTCACAATAGCCTGATAACAGTCCAGTGATATTTTCTCCCCCTAAATGCTCGTGAACATAATTAATATTCCATCTCAGACGAAACACCGAAGCTTAGGAGCCTTATTAGTTTCCCAAATAACCCGAGGACTTTGAGCCAGGGTTGAACCTGCGGGGTCTCGCTCCCAGCCTGTGCACCTCCCACCGTCCTACCCCGCTTGTGACGCCTTCCAGTTGGGTGACCCCGGGCAGGGACACGTGTGGAAGCCCCAGCCTGGTCCGGCGGGCCACGCGATCCTTCCCTTGGAACTGGAGTCAAGGTAGATGCGGGTTCTAATCTCCCGCCAGGGCCCAGGGCCTTTCAGAGGTCAGTCAGTCGATCTGCAAACGCACGCCCGCTGTGTGCCGGGCCCTGTGCCTGTGCTTGTCCTGGTGTCCCCAGGCCTCACGGGCCACCTACGACTGAGCAAACACGCAAACAAGATTACTGAAGTAGCCGCTAAGGTCCTACATCCCGAATAACCCAAGCAACGACATGAAAAGGGACCGTCACCCCACAGGTCAGGGATCACAGGGGTGTCACTTTTCATAGACAAGGGGACATCCCGGGTCAGGACCAACGGCACCGCCAGGCAGATTCAAAACCCTTCTTTGCGGGTCTCTGCCCTGCCACTTCTGGCAAGGCTCGCATCCGTTGGGGCGCGCCCGGAAAAAGCAGCCCCAGTAGGCACTCCAGGGAAGGGGTCCACCGTAGACTGACCCACAGGTGACGGAGGACAGGAAGCGCAGAGGGGGAGCGCTGAGCGGAGCCAGAGGTCAGTGTGGGGGGGACAGCTGCCACCATCGCGAGGGTAGACAAGGGGTCTGAAACCAGGAACTTGGAGAGGGGGTGCTGGGGGAGCTGGGGGGGGGCCCCCTGGGGGGGGAAGGGGGGGGGCCTGCCTCCGGGGTGGGCCCATGGGGTGCGGGGGGGGGGAGCTCGGGGCCAGCAGGGCAGAGGCCACACCCCTCGATGCCACCCCCCATCCTCTCTTGCCCTTGTGCCTTTCTTGGTGGAGCCCACAAGAAGCCACTGCCAGCCGGGTCACCTGCACAGCCAGTCCCAGCATCCCTGACCTCAGTGTGGACAGATGGATAGAAAGAGGAGAGGCAATGACTGACTCTGCCACTTCCTAACGGTCTCACTTCTGGAAGTTTCCTTAAATTAACATCTCTGAACCCCATCCACGAACTGGCCTACTGCTGGTCCTACAGTTGCTTTGGGCGCTCCCTTCTCCTCCCCTTCCCTTCCCTTCCCTCCCCTTCCCTTCCCTCCCCTCCCTTCCCTCCCCATCTCTTTTCTCATTTGGAAAGTGCTCAAGTAAAGTACCAGGCTGCAGGACTCTAGAGCCATAAAACAGGGCAAGGATGCGGTGGCACCTCCACAGCCCACTCCCTAAGCCACTCCCCTGCTTTCGTTTTACTCATAGCCAAATTCCAGTGAGTCCGTTGAAAACTCTTGTGTAATGTCCTCTCTCCCTATTAGAATCTGAGCTACAGAAGGACAGGGATTTCCATGTGTGTCCTTCTCTTGCGAATAAGAACAGGGCCCAGCTTGGAGCGCCTGGGTGGTTCAGTCGGTTATGCTTCGGACTTCGGCTCAGGTCATGATCTCACGGTCCGTGAGTTCGAGCCCCGCGTCGGGCTCTGTGCGGACAGCTCGGAGCCTGGAGCCTGTTTCGGATTCTGTGTCTCCCTCTCTTCTCTGGCCCTCCCTCATTCATGCTCTCTCTCTGTCTCAAAATTAAATAAACGTTAAAAAAATTTTTTTTAAAGAACAGGGCCCAGCCAGAACTTAAGTCTCATCCTTCCCACTTCCCCTCCCTCCCTCCTTCCTTCTTTCCTGGAATATGTACCATTTAAAGCCCTGGAAACGAAGGGCATGTTACCCTTTACTTACCAATCATCTTGCTTGTCACCTCCGTGACCTCGGAGGTGGGGTCTGACTCTTCCCTTGGGGTCAGGCCATCTGGGGTCGGTCGGTCCCAGCCCACCAGAAAGCAGCGGTGTCCTCTGTGGATAATTTATTCACTCTTCCGTTCATTTGTCCCACAAACCCTCAGTTAGGCTGCGTGTCCAGGACTTTGCTCAAGACTGGGGTAAATAGACCCATGCCTTCGTTTACTTTAGAGCCAATTTATTTAACATCAGCTATGTAACTCACTTAAAATCTCTGAGCCTAAGGTTACCTGTCTGGGAACCGGGCATAACAATCCCAGCTGTCAAGGTTACCCTGGAGAAAGCCACTGAGGCAAGTGACGGGCACACCCCCACTGCCAAGGGCAGCGGCCGTGAGTGGGCGGTGGGTTTCTGCAGCGCGAAGAGGGATGCAATTAATCAGTCATCTGACAAAGCTTGCCAAGCACCTGCTCTGTGCTCAACCCTTCTAAGTACTCTCCTGGTATGAACTCATCTAACCTGTAACAGCCCCGGGAAGTAGAGGTACTGCTGAGATGCCCTTTTTCCGGGGGAGGAAACCAAGGACAAGTTGAAGATACGCAATTTTCTCAAGGTCACACAACCAGCGGAGGGCAGGATTCCAACCTGCCACCGGACTCTGGAGCTCTGCTCTTGACCATGATGATATGAGGCGGGGGGGCAGGAGGAACAGGGACCCAACGTTTCTGTATGGCAGGAACTGGGGGGGGGGGGGGCAGTGGGGCTGGAAGAGTGTTGTATGGGTGCTGCGTGATCCGGGACGACCTGCTTGACCTCTCTGAGCCTCATTTGTATAATCCGCAAAATGGGGAGAATAACATCTGCCTCCTACTCATCTCTCGTGACAAATTTTGGCTCACCCCTCCCTCCCCACGCAGAACCTCACCTCCTGGAAAGCAGGGACCAGAACCTTTTTGTATTTCTCTTTTGTTTCTCTTTCTACCTCTATTCGGCCTCGGTTTCAGGCAGGCTCTGTTCGGTTCAGTTCCGTTGCCTTCATCCAGCCGCCCCTGGTGGAAAGCCTGCCGTGGGGTGGGCCTGGCACAGGGACCGGGAGGGTGGAGAAGAGGGGAACCGGATCCTGGTCCCGGGGAGGAAGCAGCAGGTGGAGGAGGCGTCTCGGAGGTGGTCATTTCCATACAATAATACAGGGAGGGTTACAGCTGTGTAGCTGTTTGAGACCCCACAGTGAGGTCAAGGAGGACTTCCTGGAGGAGGTGACCCTTGCAAGATGAGGAACGGTTGGGCAGGGGAAGAGGGACCAACGTTGTTGACGATGACGGTGGTCGCTGGTAAGAGCCAGCACTTAGTATATGAGTGCCAGGCAGCCGCACCAGCATTTCCTGAGGGCGGTCTTCTGCAAGCGCCTATGAGGTACGCATTATTTCATCTCCATTTATAGATGAGGAGACTGAGGCACAGAGAGGTTAAGTAACTTCCCCAGGATCACATAGCTCAGTAAAGCAACCACAAGTATCATTTACTGGATGTTTTTTTAAATCTTTTTTCTAAAAATGGTTATTTATTTTTTTAAAAAATTTTGTTTAAGTTTATTTATTTCGAGAGACAGAGAGGGTGAGGGGGGAGAGGCAGAGAGACAGGGAGAGAGAGAATCCCAAGCAGGCTCCGCGCTGTCACCAGTGAAGTCCGATGCGGGGCTGGAACTCACAAACCGTGAGATCACGGCCTGAGCCAAAACCAAGAGTCGGATGCCTAACCAACTGAGCCACTCGGGTGCCCCTAAAAATGTTTTTTTTTTTTTTT